GAAGTGCTAAATCTAACAAGTTAACGAGGAGAACTATGTCGTTAAAATAGAAAACGTTCTGCAGAAATCGATACTTATACTGTTGCTGGTGAGCGTTGAGAAGGAGTAAGAATCATAACCCTTGGTACATGTAGACCGGTCAATTTTAGGATATCATTATGTTTGGGACCCGTTAGAATAATGGCTTTACAGTCCTGTTCATCGCTCTAATACATCTGCTATCATCGGAGCCTGCGTGGCATGTAACCGGAGATGAGCCATAATAATATTATGTAGACCAGGCTGTAACTGGTACAATGTTTATCCCTTTTAAAAGATCACTCTTAAAAGAGTGATCTGTAGGCTACACTCTGCAGAAAAATCTGATGAATGCCCTTTGCCTGCTGCCCCAGGGTCGAAACTTGAAGGTGCTGGCAAAGGACCACATCAGTCCGCAAGGGCACCTGTTAGTCACGAGTTGAATGATAAGAAGTATATACACAATCTTCAGAAGCGTGCCTGAGCTGTTCACAGTGGGGATTTCAATGCTTTGCAAGACAGGGAGCTGCACTTTACACAAATACATGTGAAAGGAAAAAAGGTTTCGGGTAGTGCCATAGGCAGCGGAAGGGATGTTTTGGGTACTGAACTCCACACACCACATGTCTGTGAGGTGTCACTGCTGACAAGTTGTCATTTGCGTCTCCTACTGTGCTGTGTGTACATGTGTGTGTTTGTGTGCGTGGGTGTGTGCGTGTGTGTGTGTGTGTGTGTGTGTGTGTGTGTGCGTGTGTGTGCGTGCGTGTATGCGCATGTGTGTGCGTGTGTGTGTGCGTGCGCGCGTGCATGTATGCGTATGCATGTGCGTGCGTGTGAATCTACTGTCTCTTGGTGCAGTTCTATAGCATGTACCATCAGATGAGATGCTTCCAGCAGCATCATTACAATTACACACCGGTGAGTTAGCCATGCTATAGTCAGTTCATATCAAATGACTTGATAGGCAGTGGCATATTGCACACAGCAATTCCATGAAGCGACACGCTGTGATTACATGTATGATATCAACAGGCTCACATACATGTACGTGCACGTGTACGTGTACGTGCATACACAAAGGAGTAATTTTAGCAATTGCCGGCAAAGTGCTCAATGCACAACGTGCAGAGCGTTTCGCACGAACAAAGAGAAAGAGGTCCGGTTTGGATTTGCCGTAACTCAAAGTTTCATAAGAAAGGGTTTGCTGCCCACACTGGAGCTCGCGCTAGTGCTCTGGGCATGGAACATCTGTCGTTATTCGCGATTTGTCGTTATATCCACAGTCGTTATTAGCCAAGTTGACTGTACTTGTTCTACTATGTCACGCTAGGTATGAAGTTGTTTTACTTAAAAAAAGAAGTATGTAATATTTGTTTTCATGGCGGCATTTTGACACTAGTACGCTTCTTTTGTTTGTGGGCTCTTCGGGTTCTTGGCATTGTTTAAAAGTATAGTAAGCTTCTCAATTCTGCATAGGTTGCACCTTTTCGACTTTTTAGAATGTGCATAAAGATAGGGAGGGAGTGGGGAGGGGGGGGGGGTGGGGGGTGTTCTCCAGGGAACAAATGACACGCAAGGGCATACGGTGCGACCTGAAATCCCATTGGTTGTCACAGATACATGTACATGCACAATCTCATCCACCTCCCAAAAGTATTCCCTCTGAGCCTTTTGTTTGTGCTAATCTTTCAACACAGCTACCTATGGTGCAGGACTTCCTGCTCAATCAGCCGCACATTGATGACGAAGTATTGCATCAGATTTCGCGGCGCCTTGAACCACCTGTTGCTCGCGGGGTCTCTCAGCTTTCCTTGAACTCAAGAGGATGAATGTGCTGGTGCCTGAAGCCTGCAGTGCGTACCGTGTCGTCGGAAGACACAACCGCTTGAGTGATTCACCTTGCCCTCTGCATTCCGGCTCTATTCCCTCACTCCTCACCATGCATGTTAGTGTAGATTGGTCTAGATTGCCGAGGTAGTCAATCATTCAGATAGCGCAGAACTAGTCCTGGTGGCAGCGAGTGGCATTATGTTTCATCCCGCGCATTGCCCGCCCCGTGCTAGTTTGCCGGCAAGCGCTCCTCTCTCTCTCTCTCTCTCTCTCTCTCTCTCTCTCTCTCTCTCTCTCTCTCTCTCTCTCTCTCTCTCTCTCTCTCTCTCTCTCTCTCTCTCTCTCTCTCTCTCTCTCTCTCTCTCTCTCTCTCTCTCTCTCTCTCTCTCTCGTCTTTTTACTGAATCAACCACCTGATCCTCACATGACATTGACAGTGTCGTGCGTTTCTTGATTAACACAATATCCCAGTGTAGGTCCACTGATCCTCAATGACCTTTTGTGCATGGCTCATGGTTTGGCTGTGTGGATGATTTTTCCCTGAGGTATACATTGACTAATTCGACCATTGCGCAAGAATTTCTACTGTCCTTGATTATTCTATTTTGACCTATTTTTTCTACTGAAAGTCACAAGCCAGTATGTACTTGCAGTACCTGTCCTATGTGTATGGTGCATGCCCAACGTTTGCCCCTTCATGTCTCTCCTTTGTCCATTTCTGGATTCTGCCTCTCCGCATTAGCCGGCCCTCCAGCTTTGGGCCGCCCGTCGGGTATCTGTGTTTTGCCTGTTTTGGTGGTTGGGGGCTTCCCGGGGCGTGGGGTGGCCGCCAATAAGAGGTCGGGTCACTACCCCCAGTGTCTTGAGGAGGTGGTCCAGAACCTGGGAGTGGGGCTACCTTTGGGGGGGGGGGGGGGGTGCGGCTCCTAGGAGGAGGTGGTGAGTGGGGCCTGGGAGTCACCGTTGGGAGGGGGGGGGGGACAGTTCCCAGGCGGATGTGCGCCAGAACCCCCAGTGTCTATACTACCGGTACTGCTGGCGCCAAGTCAAGCATATTTACATAAATGTATCTGTGCGTGCTGTCCCTACATCGTACATCTATCGAATTACTATGGGATTCACGAACGGGGAAAATGCTCCGAGAATGTTTGTATTGCTAACCATAGAGCTCCAAAAACGACTTTATAATGCTAAGTATAATGCTTCAGCAAGGGCTATAAATAAGTATAATGCTCTTGATTTGAGAAACAAAAGGGAGAAAGGTTGCACATTGTCAAACTTCCAGGAAGGGATGCACATCGTCAATGTGCCTCTGAAGCTGTCGCAACACACATGACTTGTACATGTATCTCTCAACAGCTCCACCACCTCCTAGTACTAGTGCTTAATTAACACACGGTCGCTTCTCCAATGGCTGCTCTCAATGGAAACTGTGATACAGGGCTGTGGCAGAATAGTGGCTGACTGGGTGTATCAAAATCTTTTCGCCTCATTATCCAGGTAGTGAGAGGTGAAAACCAGTATTGCTGGTGATCATTGGGATGAAATTGATCTTGGCAAGTAGTACATTTACGTCTGCCTGCAGACAAGCTGTCAGTCAATGCTTCCACTCCATGAATAATGCCTTCATTCGAAACAGCAGACATTATGCCAGTTGCTGAGAGCAGGCTATCGCGGATCGAGATCCCTCCCATTTGCGGAAGGCCAAAATAATGCGTGTTCAGGAGCCGCGGATTATTTCCGCTCTACATCCTTTGCTGTTGTTGTTGCTGTTGTTGTTGTTGCTGTTGCTGTTGCTGTTGCTGTTGCTGTTGCTGTTGCTGTTGCTGTTGCTGTTGCTGTTGCTGTTGCTGTTGCTGTTGCTGTTGCTGTTGCTGTTGCTGTTGCTGTTGCTGTTGCTGTTGCTGTTGCTGTTGCTGTTGCTGTTGCTGTTGCTGTTGCTGTTGCTGTTGTTGTTGTTGTTGTTGTTGTTGTTGTTGTTGTTGTTGTTGTTGTTGTTGTTGTTGTTGTTGTTGTTGTTGTTGTTGTTGTTGTTGTTGTTGTTGTTGTTGTTGTGTGTTGTTGTTGTTCAGCTGGTGGCAGGGACAACGTTCGCATTGGGGTCATTGATCCGAGTAACACCTTCAGGCTGTCGACATAGGCGCTTGGACAGGAGATTGCTAATCCTCGCGGTGTGGATACCAAGCATGAGGAGGCGGAGTTTACAATGGGCGTTTTTAATGATGGGAATGAGGTCAAGACGTGTGTAGATGGGATCTGTGTGGGAGGGGACGGCTGGTTGGCAACGCAGCGGATACATCGCTTGTCGAGGACCGAAAGCTGGTGTCGTTCGTGCGCAGAGAGACGAGAAGAAGGCACTGGATCTAACATGTCAGGTAGTATTAGATATATTATGTAAAAAATGACAGGGCTGTTAATACAATGAGATAGGCTTTAATACAAGAGACTGCGGTATTGCCAAAAACCTGGGCCGATGATTTCTAGATACCCAATATGAAACTCGTATTTCCCCTCAAACCTCACATCACTGAGTATGCTCGTTGTGTCCCTTTCTAATGCTCCATAATCCTCTGATGCCCAGATAGTCTCATAATGGCGGATATAATGGCGGATATAATACCGGATATAATGCCGGATATAATGGCGGATATAATGGCGGATATAATGCCGGATATAATGCCGGATATAATGCCGGATATAATGCCGGATATAATGCCGGATATAATGCCGGATATAATGCCGGATATAATGCCGGATATAATGCCGGATATAATGCCGGATATAATGCCGGATATAATGCCGGATATAATGCCGGATATAATGCCGGATATAATGCCGGATATAATGCCGGATATAATGCCGGATATAATGCCGGATATAATGCCGGATATAATGCCGGATATAATGCCGGATATAATGCCGGATAGAATGCCGGATATAATGCCGGATATAATGCCGGATATCGAATGCCGGCATTATCCGCTGGGCCCTGTACATGTGCATGTATACAGTATGTATGTTCTATACAGCAGCAGCACACAAACTTGTATACCCTCGAGCAACGCCTTTTAAAACTATAAAACTGATGCATCACCATCCCGAGGTAAAGCCACCCACTCATCTCCAGATGAAGAAGGTTTACCCTAGCATCCGGAAAGCACACCTTCGCACCCCATGTCCTGACCCCCACCCAGCTGACCCCCCGAGCAGCAGCCAGCATTCAATGTCGACATACAACAGCAATGGGCAAAGCAGGCCGGCGCGAAAGAGATGGCCGATGTTGCCAAACGAGTAGCCGCTAGTCATCGACGACACGTACGAGTAGCAGCAAGGCATCAACGGCACTTGAGCAAGTAAGCATCCTAGTAATAGTGGTCAGGAACATTTTGCGCATATCAATCTGTATTCTACTATTGTGCTGATTCTGTCGACACTCTTACAAATGGCGTCTCTTAATCCCCTAGCACCCTGCTTTTTTCCCCTCTAAGTCAAATTTAACCAGGCCTACCGGTATATGTCCTACTCACGATGCAGAACCCCTCCCTCCCCTTCTTGCTGATGTGATATCTAGCCATCCACCCTACACGCCCATAACACATTCATTCCACCTTAGGATAGCCCAACTCAACTGGCAAAGCGCCACTCATAAGATCCCAGTCATTGAGTCGCTACTACACACTTCGTCCCTTGACCTCCTATTCCTCTGTGAGACGTGGTTCTACCAATCACTGCCGGATGCAGCCATCTCAATTCCCGGATACAGCCTCCTGCGTAAAGATAGAGATGGTGCCCGACACTCAGCGATAGGTGGAGGACTTACTGTTTATATTCGACAATCACGTATGTGCCATTTCCACCGGCGGACCGACCTTGAATGCTCACTGGAGCACATTTGCGTGGAATTTATAGAATCGCAGAACAGTCGAAAGAATACATTCCACATGTTTTACAGGCCCTCTCACCGATCATCAGCAGAAAAACATGACTTTTTTGTGTCCTTCCAGTCCACCATCGCCAACCCACTGTCAACCTCAGGCACGACAGTCATTCTCGGTGATTTCAATGCCAAACTCCGACAGTGGAACGCAACAGATGTTGATACGGCCGAGGGCAAACAGCTAGCAGGATTGTTAGACGACCTTGCACTACAGCAAATTGTCCGAAACACCGCAACGCGATACTCAGCTACGGGTAGCCAGTCATCACTTCTCGACCTGGTTATCACAGACGCAGAGCATCGTATCTCCGACCTTGAAGTCCTAGATCCGCTATCAGACCACTGTCCCATCATCTTTAAATATCTCTCAGGAAAGCGCACCCCAAAGCACCCGCCGCCCCGCTTTGTACCAGACTACGCGAACACTGACTTTCAATCTCTACGACAGAAACTTTCATCTCTTCCACTCCGGGAGTGTATGCTCGGTACGCGGTGCTTCCACCATCGAGAGTGCGTGGTGGGCATGGGAGTCATGCATCACACAAGCCATTGCCAGCTGCTTAGCGTACAGACGAGTTTCATCTCGAAGACAGCAAACCAAGCCTTGGTTCACCCCACATCTGCATCACCTTCATCGCCAGAAGCAGCGCCTTTTCCATGCCGCCAAGCGCCACCAAACAGTAGAACACTCAGGCGCGTACGCAGGGGGGGGTTTCCCGTTGCCCGGAAACCCCCCAAATGTTCCAAACGAGCAACATTTTTGGGCACATTTTGGTAGGGCGTGCGATTGATCTGACGTCCATGACAAGAATGCAAACTTCAACAGATCGTAACTCAGTCAAATCTGGCTCAATTCCAACGATCCAAATATCCAGGTCGAATAGAAAATTCTCAGCTGTCGGTAGAAACAATCCGCGAAGCGCTGCGAGCAATGGTTCTTGAGATATAGCATTCGTTAGTTGAGCCGCGATCCCGGCAATTTCCAAAGCGCGCAGTGCAACTTGAGTAGCGAGAATTTGAGACTATTCGTCACATTGACTTGCTCAAATTTGCAGGGGCTTCACTTGTGATATTCTCAAGAGTACACAGCAAAAAACTCTGCGATCGAGAAAAACGAAATCGCTGGAGCAGGATGCGTTTGGGCCTTTGGGGCATTTTTGCACCGTTGCTGCACTCTATGGATACAGGTACAGTGCAGCAGAGTAGCAGCTGGTCCGGCTGTTCCGGACCAATGCCAAAAGTGCCCAGAGTGCAGGATTTTGCTCCCTAATTTCAAAATTTTCCCGGGGGACACCCCCGACCCCCATACACCCAGACCACCACCAACGGCGGTGCTACCCGCCTGCAGTGTCCTGGCTATCATGGTCGACCTCATTCTCTTTCTCTCGTGGATACCATTCCACTTCCAGGAAGCCCAAGATTATGAAGATTGAGTGGGTAGAACTGAAGTTATGATCCAAGGAACGCGAACAATGCATAATTTTGAAATTTTTTAAAAGGTAAAAAAGAACACATTGTTTGTAATTCGGTTGGAAACCCCCCTAGAGGTGACCCTGCGTACGCGCCTGACACTGGTTAACCTACAAGGCCCAGAGGAATGCATATCAGGACCAGTTAAAGGGGAAGTATACCCTAAAATCAAATTTTCACCAGTTGTAGTCTTCTGGGTGCTGAGTCGAATGGTCTTAGTCCGAGGAAGCTGCGATGCTCCCTTC